GGGCCCAGGCCCAGGAGGCTCCACACTTGAACATCTCCTTCTCCACCTCCTCCTCAGACCCGCTCCACCCTCAACCACCAGAACCATGGGCTGCTGTGGATGTTCCGGAGGCTGCGGCTCCAGCTGTGGAGGCTGTGGCTCCAGCTGTGGGGGCTGCGGCTCCAGCTGCTGTGTGCCCGTCTGCTGCTGCAAGCCCGTGTGCTGCTGTGTGCCAGTCTGTTCCTGCTCCAGCTGTGGCAAAGGGGGCTGTGGCTCTTGTGGCTGCTCCCAGTCCAGCTGCTGCAAGACCTGCTGTTCCCAGTCCAGCTGCTGCAAGCCCTGCTGCTCCCAGTCCAGCTGCTGTGTCCCTGTGTGCTCCCAGTCCAGCTGCTGCAAGCCCTGCTGCTCCCAGTCCAGCTGCTGTGTCCCTGTGTGCTCCCAGTCCAGCTGCTGCAAGCCCTGCTGCTCCCAGTCCAGCTGCTGTGTCCCTGTGTGCTCCCAGTCCAGCTGCTGCAAGCCCTGCTGCTCCCAGTCCAGCTGCTGTGTCCCTGTGTGCTGCCAGTAGAAGATCTGAGGCTCTGGCCACAGACCTCAGATGGCTGGTACTGGCAAAGGTGCCCGAGCTGTCCCACCTCCTTGCTCTGGGGCTCCCTGGGGGCTTCCGTGTTCATCACTGACTTCATCTTCTCCAAACAAGAGCTTCTGAAACACGGCCTCAAAAGGACAGGACGCAGGGATGGCTTCTTACTGACTGGACACTTCTTCCGGCTCATTGTCCACATTTTATCCCCGATTTCCCCTCCCTGGTTTCCCCTGATTTAACATGTAAGCTGCCCACAGAGGCTGAGGAGGCAGCACATACCTGCTGGACCCTGAAAGCTGCCCCAGAGTCTGACAAGCCCTGCTCTCTCTGGCTCTCTGCATAGCACGATCCGGCCCCAGACCCTCTAAATAAAGGCAGTAGCTAAGCACCGAGCTCATCCTCCTGTGGTTCTTTCCCTCCCTCCCCTCTCATTCCCTGAAGTGTCGTCTCCCTGCGCCACCCCCACCCAGCCTGTTTCACTTTCTCTATCCTCGGCATCTCTCACGCCATAGTCCTGCCTCTATGTACAGAACGGCTGCTGCTCTGTGCCCTTGTCTCTCACGCCATAGTCCTGCCTCTATGTACAGAACGGCTGCTGCTCTGTGCCCTTGTCTCTCACGCCATAGTCCTGCCTCTATGTACAGAACGGCTGCTGCTCTGTGCCCCTTGTGCAGCAGAAAGCCAAGCTCCCCGTCTAACATGTGGACCGCCCGCAGGGGCAGCCGCAGTGGCACCGCCCTCCTGTGGGAGAGTAGGGGGCATCGGGGACCCTAGCACTTCAGCGGAAGGATAGGGGGGCGTCCATGCATTAAGAGGTGGGCGGCATTTCAGGCGGGACAGAAGCATCAGAAGAGCCTCAGTGCGTGGAGGAAACCAGAGGAAGAGCCCACGAGTTTCCGAGTCTTGTCCTGAATGTCATGGGGCCTCTTGGAAAGACTGTGGCAGGAGGACGTGATTTTAACACGACGTCTCTCGATGCTGAACGTAAGCCACAAAGGCAGCACCAGGAGTCAAATCGTGTCCTTCCCAATTCGTATGTCGGAGTCCCAACCCCCAGTATCTTAGAACGTGACCTTATTTGGAAATAGGGTCTTTACAGAGGCCAACAAATTAAATGAGGTCACTGGGGTGGACCCTAACCTATATGACTGGTGTCCATATAAAGTGGGCAATTCAGGCAGACACACCCACGGAGGATGCCATGTGGTGCCGGGGGCTCAGATCAGGGTGATGCTTCTACAGTTCAAGCTGCAGTGAAGACCCTGGCAGCAGAGCGGGACGGGACAGGGTCTCCTCACAGCCTGCGGAGGGGCCTGGCCTCAGGCCTCCGCCTCTAGGGCCGTGAGGGAGTGCACTGCTGCTGTCTGTACCAGCCAGCCTGTGGTCCTTTGTTATGGCAGCCGCAGGAGACCCATGCAAGCTGGGAGTCAGTCACAGCAGCCACCAACAGCTGCACAGATGGGGTGAGTCACAGGAACTCCACACAGAAGTCAGGTGCTTGCACATCTGTGGCAGCTCCACAGGCTGGACCTCCAAGGAAGTGCTCCAGAGGACCACAGGCAGGCCCCTTGGGGACCTCTGGCCTCCGAGGTTGTCACAGGATCCTGATCCGGTACCTGCTATGACACAGTCCAGGGGCTGGGAGCCACTGCAGCTGCTGAGGCCGCCTCTGCCATGGCCACCCTTCAGCGTCCACCGGTGGGTGACGTGGTCCACTCGGGCCTCTCACCTGGGAAACAGGGAGGTGAACACTGACAACCTGGAGCAGCGGGGTCCCCAGCCGCACAGCGCCCCTCAACAGGAACAGCAGACAGGTGGGCAGAGCCCTCTGCCTGCCTTCGCCTTCCAGATCTCAGGCAAAGGTATTTAATTGGCAGGACCAAATTCACACCCGGAACCTGGAATTAAAATTTTGGCTTCTACTCCTTGCAGCTTAGGAGATACTGGAGGAGGGTCACGGAGGCTCCGTGGGCTGCCCCAGCCTTAGCAGCAGGGCCTCTGTGGTATTTCCTGCTCTTCTTGCCGCTCTGATGCCACGTGCCCCCGGGGGAAGGCTCTTGTGCACCCAGGGCTGGCTCGTGAGAACGCAGGCCCCGCAGCCACATGGGGCCCTGTGCTCAGAGGCTTAGTGCCCTGCCGTCACTGACTTGCAACCTTTACTGACCTTATCCTTGACCTTGAGTTTCGTAGGTGAAGTCCGATGGGACAGTGGGGCATGCACACTACCAGGGCTGATGGGGGCCACACATCCACCCAGGAGCAGTCCAGGGCACCCATGGGGTAGCTGGGGCTGGGCCCTGGGCCCCAAGAGGTGTTGGCAACATGGCTCCGCAGCCACAGCCCACAAAGAGAGGAGGCTCCATGTGCGGGAAGCGCCAGGCCCAGGGGGAGGCTGGCTTGTCTGTCTGTCTCCAGAGCCTGCCCCCGACATCTGCTAACTGTTAACGTTCCAGCCCGAGCATCAGTAAGGTGTTGTGGAATAAAACTGTATGTGTGGACATTCTGATGAGGCACACCGGGGAGTTATTAGAATTCTCCAAGGACTTTAGAATCTCTGGTTTTGAAAACCTCTGCAACGTTGAAAAGCAAATACCCACAGGACAAGCTCAGAAATACAAATTAGATTTGAAGAATGTCAGATTTGATGAAAAAGAATGCTGCTTTCATGAGGAGCTTCAGATGAACCGCTTGTTAACGAGTAAGACAGTTTTTAAAGTAATTTTCATTTGTAATTGAAGGTGCAGGGAACAGTGTGCGTCAACGGGCCATCTGAATCGTGAAGCCACTTTCAGCCTCTTGTACAACCTCCATTACTTTGGGGAAATATCAGAGGAAACATTAATATGCCCTCCCATAGATTCACGTTTAACATTAAGTTCTGAGCCGAGAGGGAAGCCCGCTGTGAACTGCAGACCTTGGGGGACAATGACATGCCAGTGCAGGTTCTCAACTGAGACGCATGTGCCGCTCTGTGTGGGGACGGGGGTACACGGGGCACTCTGTACTTTCTGTCCGATTTGTCTGTGAGCCTATAACTGCTCTTAAAAATAATCATCTTAAATAAGAAAACAATCGAATTCCGAGCTCTGACATGCAGAGAGCTTGGACGTCATCACTTCTGTTCCTACGACAAGAGGAAACTGAAAAAACTGGAAATCAGTGACTTTTCTTGCACCTGTTAGAGAAAGGAGGTTGCAGGGCAAACTGGGAAGGCAAAATCAGGGGAGACAGGTGAGTCCGGAGAGGCGTGGCCGAGGTTGGCTCACCTGGAGCAGAAGCCGTGGGAGCCATGGACTGGTGGAGACGCTGAATGGCGATTTTGACCTCTTGCTGGAGGCTGCTACCTTGAGAGTGAGAGAATCCTGGGGGAGCCGTCTTAGGGGCCCACACGTTCATGGGCTTTACCTCCAGGAACCACATCAGGTCTGAGAAACATCCCTGTGGCTCTGCTGGGGGAGGGGGAGAGTAATCACTGAGGAACAGGCCCCGAGCCTTCGCCCTCACAAAGGCCCACTCTCCAGGGGAAAGACTCTTCCAGAGCATCATCCCGCCCGGGGGAAAGCCAGGCTTCTCACGTTGGACGTAGGAACTTACAGAAAAGCAAGTGGGGAGGTTAGAACGATTCCTGCAGAGATGGATTGGAGCTGGAATCGTCGTGACGAATCAGGCTCACAGACACAGATGGACACACACAGGAACACTCAGACGGTGCTATGCACACAGGTGAGGACACACACAGCCTGTCACTCTGTCAGCTGAAAGGGCCTAGACGTGGTGACACCCCAGTTGCAGGGAGCACAGCCAGCCCCCAAATCTTGGTTTCTAAGACCACGCTCCCATAAAAGCACCAGGAATCCTTTAAGACAGGACCGACTCCAGGCCTGAGGCAGAACACGACAAATGAGCCTGGAACACCTCGTAGTGCCAGAGAATAAAGAAGCGCGTAAAAACGAAAACAGGAAAAAACCACCACAGTGGTTGGGGCATGTCACAGAGACATAGGGGCCACCGGGAGCCTCCCAGAGGCCACAGATGGAACTATTGGGGTAATAAATAAATCAACAAGGTCGTATTGGATTTTAACCCAAAGTATAAACTAAATGTCTAAATATGCATGAACCTGAACTGATATAAATAAATAAATGCATGGGAGAGGATGGGCAAATCTCCTGTGCAGAAAAACTGCAGATAATCCGTGTAGATGCTCCATCCTCCAGGAGGCGGGCTCAGCCCTCAGCTGCTGAAGTGCGGACACACTGTGACTTCCTCCCAGGTGTGCGACAGGGAAGCAGGGAAAGGTACAAACGTCTCGACAGCAGTGAAGCCTAACACGACCTCAGCCAGGCGATCAAGGTCACCGTCAACTGCGGTGACCGTGTTGGTAGCAGGTACCCTTGTGGGACGTGAGGAGGCACATCCTCTGTGGTCCTGCTCCCAACCTGCAGCCCCCGGGTGACCGTGAGAAACCACCAGACGACTCCTCACCGAGGGGCGTTCTGGGAAATATCCAAGTGTCCTCCTCAGACCACCCGGGTCATCAAAAGCAAGGAAAGTGAGGAACGGTCACAGCCAAGAGGAGCCTGAAGGGACAGGGTGACTAAATGTCAGGTGGGATCCTGGGACAGGACAGGGAAGTCAGGTAAGTATGAATGAAATATGAAAAAAGGATGGACTTTGCTTAATAATAACGTACCAATATTAGTTCGTTAATTGTGACCAATGTCCCACACTGACGCTAACAGAATGTTAATAGGAAAAGTGGCTGCCGGATACATGGGAACTGTCTTTGAAATTTCCTGTTGCCTTCAAAACAGTCTTTAAAAAATAGAGAAAAGGACACAAAGCTTCTGTGGGGAAAAAAAAGACTTTCTGTAAATCTAAAATTATTCTAAAAAATAAAGTTTATTAACAAAATTAAACTCAGACTCAATGTGAAACTGATTTGTCTGAGGAATTAAATCTTTTTACAATTTTTTTTTTGCCATGAGAATCACCAGGTCTAGATGTGCTAACATTTAATTTTGAGATAATTTGTGAGACATTTATCCCAATGTTATCACAGCCTGTAAAAAAGTTCAACAGCTCCAGTCACAGCTGCGTCAGCCGAACGAGCCCTCTCAAAAGTTACCAAAAATTATCTGAGATCCTACATCTGCCGAAAGAGACGAAGCTGTCTCAGGTACACGGATGGAAAACGGAGTTGCTGAGAGGACACGATTTGATGACGATAAATAAATTTGTAGGAGAGTGAGCTGGAAAAACTTCATCATCCACTGAGCTATCAATATTTTTTCAATAAAGTGTTTATTGATACTACACAAAAAGATGACCGCAGAATTATCAACATGTTGCAGTTTGTAAGTTCACACAGCGACTTGGGCGTCACTATCGCTTTTTTTTTTTTTTTTTTTTTTT